TGCATCTGAAAACCCACTGGAGGGTTAGCTATGGCCAGTTCCAACTCAACAGCATACAACAACAAAATTAGAAGGGTTAGTCCCTGGAAAGGGATACTATGCTTCATAAAAACAGAGGTCAGTGAAAAAAAGAAAAAAAGCCTCAAAATGAGATACAATGAATTAAGTAATGTGGCCCTTGCATTCATAGCTTTCCATTTTGTGATTCCTACTTCTTTCCGTCTTGTGATTCTTGAGGTTATGCTTAAGACCTCATTCAAGGCTGAGTTGCTGCTGTTGTTATGTGCTATAAAGCCAGAATCATGGCAGAGCTGACCTTCCAGCAGGTTTTAAGAGGCTGTAAAGTGCATACAAGGAGACTGTCCATCTTTCTCCTGAAGAGAAGTTGGTGGAGTCAAAACATGTGCCTTATTGTACTAAGGAGATAGGATTAGTGTGGTAGATAAACCCCAGCCCCACCCTCTAACAAGGTACTACCCTACTCACCACCCTTAGTTCTCTTAGAAGTGAGGTTTAAACCCAAGTGCCCATCAACAAACGAATGGATAAGAGAAGCTGTGGTATAGTCACACAATGGCATACTATGCAGCACTGAAAAACAAGAAACTCATGACATATTATACAAAATGAGTGATCCTAGAGAACATTATGCTGAGTGATATATCTAGTAAAAAAGGGCAAATACCGCATAATGCCACTGTTATATAACAGGACAGACACGGGGGTTGGGAAGAAATGAAGAAAATGGGATAAATAATGTACAGTGCATTGAAAGAGATGAGGGAAAGAACTGCTTAAAAAGAATATATGATTAGGTATTATTTGCATGACAATAGTCCAGAATTACAGTTGCATAGTAATGTGGACTGGGATGGAGATTGTACAACAATGAAATAATTTTTTTCAATGAGAAAAGTAAATTGGGAGGGGGAAGTGTGGCAGAAAGGAAAATGTGCAACAATGAATGAAGGGAAATCCAAGTTCTCTATAGACTTCATGAAAATATCAATTTAAAAAACCCAAATGTCAAAAAATACTGTACATAAAAAAAGTGAGGTTTATAACTCCGAGATTCTATATCAGGAGGAGTAGTTCTGAGAAGCTCTATGCTTGTTCTTTTGAGACACTGCACAAAACCTGACAACCAACAGCAAACAACCTCCAACCAACAGCTTACGTCTGCAGACTTTCGTTCACTAGTCTCTGAGACCACAAACACTGGTCTGTGCTGTTGCTATGTGCCATCAAGTCGTTTGCGACATATGTACAATAGCCCTAAACCCTGCTCTATCCTGTGCCAATTGCATTGCCTCTAACACACTCATCCCAATTACCCCAGTCACTGAATCAATCCACCTCAGAGAGGGTCTTCCCCTTCTGCGCCGTCCCTCCATCCTCCCAAGCATGATGTCCCTCTCTAAGGACCTGTCTCTCCTTACAACATGTCCAAAGTATGTCAGACAAAGCCCCAGAATCCTTGCCTTCAAGGAGAAGCCTGGTTTAACCCTCTCCAGAATGAATCTGTTTGTTTTCTTGGCAGTCCATGGTACATTCAATACTCTTTTGCAGCACTACAGCTCAAAAGCATCAATTCTCCTTCTGTTCTCCCTAGTCATTGTCCAACTCTCTGATGCATAACAAGTGATTGCAAAGACCATGGCCTGTATCAGGCGCACCTGAGTCTCCAGAGAGACACCGTTGCTCTTGAGTACTTTAGAGGGGTCCCTAATAGCAGACTTTCCCATCGCAATACGTTTTTTTATTTCCTGGCTGCTGGTGCCAAGAGTGTTGACCGTGGAGCCGAGCAAACTGAAGCTGTGAACAATCTCAATCTCTTCGCCATCCATCCTGATGCTACCAGATGGTCCAGTGGTGAGAATCTTTGTCTTCTTAACATTGAGCCTCAGTCCATACTGAAGGCTGCAGTCCTTGACCCTCTGCAGCAAGTGCATGAGGTCCTCCTCATAACACTGGTCTACATCCTCATAACCACATGAGCCATTTTGCTGATGGTTTTCTTTGAGTTTCTATGAACTGTCCAGTGAACTACAGAACCCAAAGATATAGGTGAGAGTGGGAAGACTGAAGCGAGGAAGAACAATTAATTTCAGAAATGATGGTTTGGTTGGTACAACAGTTGGGACATTTGGAATACTCTTCACATCTGCCTTAGAGGAACTAGTCTTTGCACAAATTATTGTAAAAGATATCATTCATGCAGATAGATTGGCACAATGGCTACAACAAAGGGTCCAAGCATATCAATGGTTGTGCAGATGGTGTAGAACTGGATGGTGTTTTGCTCTGTTGTACATAGGGTTACTGTGAGTTGGAACCAACACAACACTTAACAGCAACAACAAGGTTTGATAAGAAAAATTATGTTGCAGAACAGATGGAAATGGACTATTTTTCCAGTAGGGTCCACCATTTAGTGTGCTTTGGGCTCCAGCGTGACCTCCTCCCAGCTCTAAAGCTTCAGGCATTTGGATAAGAATCAATTCCTTGTTATTTTTTTTTCCTATAATAAATAAAATGTACTTGTGTAAATTTGTAGGAATCAATTAGTAAATCAGATATCAGACTACTCTGTCCAATAGTGGAAAGATAGAAGAAAAAAAAAGCCACAGTGTATTCAATCCAAAACAGTTCTTCCTAAAAGGATTTGCATTTCAAAATTTTAATGTACACACTGCTTCTTGTTAAGAAGCAAATTCTGGATTCAGGAGGTCTGGGCTGGGGCCTGAGAGGCTGCATTTCAAGCTAGCTCCTGGGTAATGCTGATGGCTCTCTGGGATTACATTTAAGAGTAGAAAGTTCTTGAAGGATGCTGGAGTTTTCTCTCCAGCTGGTTCTGTCTCAACATAAAAGAAAAACTAATCACACCATAACATCTTAAATATTTCTGAAATTGATGGAAAAAATACAGAGAAAAATATTCGTGAGTTATCTACCATCTCTGTGCAGTCATAAAATTTGATAACAGACTGTTAGAAGTGGGAAAACTCTTGGAAAATCTGCTTCTGTCTCTAACTACACAGACAGAGTTGGAGACCCTTCAGGGGACATAATAGGCCAACACCACACAGCAAATTGATTTCACAGCAAGTATAAAATCCAGGCTTCCTGACTCTCCATTCAGTGGTCTTTCTCACACACTGTGATTTGATTAGGAGAGATACTCAACCTTTTTCTTAGACACTCCACTGTCGGCTTCCCAACCAGTGGAGACCGTTCCCCCTGTTTTAGCCCAAATCTATGCTATATTGATCATTAGCCCATATTAGCGCATCAATGGACAGTGGTCTTGCTGCTCTTCTTCCATTTAGCACTTGGATAATGGCCACTAAAAACACAGGTTGTCACATTGGCCATATGGAAAATGTGCCCAATCATCGCTCTCTGAGAAGCAGAAGGGAAGAGCTGAATCATCACTACTGGGAACAGACTCATAAAATGTATTATTTGTGAACTAGGAATTAAATATCAAAGTGAAAGCAGTATTTGCATTAGAGTGTGATAAGGTCGAGCAAAAAGAGCAATTCTCAGATAAAGATGTATGAAATAGGCTGTCAGCAAATCAAAGTTGTAATTCAAAATGCAAAGACCAAAATGGAACTTACTGAGGGAAAGGGGAGGAAACCCACGAAAAACCCCAATCAAACCAAAACCAACAACTACAAAGCACTGAACCTGACATTAACTCACAGGGCTGGAGGACAGATCAACACCACTTGTCCTAGCCACCTGGTCTTGTTTTGGTGGCAGGAGAATCCTTGTCAGGTAGTAGGGAGGAAGAGAAAGCATGACTCTGGGCCAATCCAGCTGACTCATGTTGCCCTTTACCCCAGTCATCAGCCCCTGGGAGGGAGAAAATGTGGGGACTGAACGTGGCTTGTCATTTCCTCGTGAGACCAAGAAGTGAACCAAGTACATGGAAACAATGTTATTGTTGTTGCTGTTATGTCACTGATTCCAGCTCAGAAAAGCCCTACAGGATAAAGCCAAACTGTCCCCTAAGTTCCTAGGCTGTGATGTTTATAAGATCAGATTGCTAGGTTTTTCTTCTACATAGACACTGGGGACTCAAACCACTGACCGTTTGGTTGGTTAGCAGTTAGCACTTAACTACTACTCCACTAGAGCTCCTTCAATAATACTATACCTCTAAATATGAAACTACAGCCACATTCAGTATGAGTTAGGGAGCAGAACTGCTCCACTGGATTTTCTTGGCTGTAATGTTTTCTGGAAGCAAGTCACCAGGTCTTCTTTGAATGCTACTCTGTGGTTTGAACCCCTATCTACTCCTATTGAGTCAGTTTTCTACTCATGGTCACCCTCCATTGGGTTTCCAAGGCTGTATGGCCCAGTTTTCTCCCACAGAGTGGCTGGTGGATTTGAACCACCAACTTTTTTGGTTAGCAGCCGGAAATGTTACACACTAGGCCACCCGAGCGCATCTATAGATTGAGCCAGGCAGGGAGAAGCTTGACTCCAAGGCCAGAAACACACATAATATTTAACCACTCTTGAATCCTACTAGTTTCATTTTTTCTAAGAAGATAAAGTACAACGATAATCCTACCTTGGAATGTGTTTGTTAGTATTACATGAGAGAGAGTACATAAAATTCCTGGCCAGTGTAAGCACTTAACAATGCCCTTTCCAAATTAAGTTCCTATCTTAATGATCTGTTTTGCTCATTCTACAAATATTTATGGTGCTCTGACAATGCCCCCAGATACTGTTGTGACAGTTGAAGATACAATAGTAACCACAAACACAAGTTGCAGCCTCTAGAATCTCACCTCCAGGCTCACGGTCATGTCCAGAGCCAGTGCAGGGAGCACATGTCAAACACATAAATAGATTTGTACTATACCAGGTGGAGAAGGGTGATAGGAAGGAAAAGAAAGCAGGGTAACGGGGAGAGAGTGGCAGCAGCGAGGGATGTCGTTCACCATCCTCTAAACATGAAAACTGCTTTTAGAAGTTACCTGCACAGTGGAGTGTAAAAATGCTACAGTGTAAAGCATTGGCTTCCACATGGGTAAGTTACTAATATCAAGTAGGTCTTGATTAATTCCAGCAAATGTCCTCTTCAAGCCGGCGCGGACACCTTGGGGTGGCTCGTTGGTGAATTTGAGAGAAGTCTGTCATGAAAAGCAAACAGTAGTTTTGTTTCAGCAAATTACCGTAAAGGTGAAAGAGAAATTACAAGGCATCACATAATATGCTTGCTTATGGCACATAAAATGTGGACTGGAAGTCAGCAACGTGTAAACTAATTACACCGATCTGAGCAGAGACTATAAATTAGTACCAAGTCTTGCAACCCTTCTGCAGAAATATTTGCTATGTAACCTTGACAGTTATAGTTCAGATTTTTTTTTCTTTTTTTGATGATGACAGGATGAGATTTTGTGGTGCAAACTATCAATCCAAAAAGCCCTGTTGTGTATCCCTCTTTCAAGAATGTCAATTCTACCATCTATATAGTATAGTAACGAACCTGAAGGAGTGTAATTGGGAATCGATCATGAGGCTCAGTGGTTATCCATACTCGAAAGGAATCATTATTGGCTTCAGTGATAGTTAGCGTCTCCAGTAATTCTTCCATGAATTCCAGGCCAAGGTGGCAATTTTGCAGTAACACCCATCCACCCTGTATCCAAAAGTGATTAATAGTTAATAGCTCTGAGGGCTTGAGATTTACTTCACACAACATTCTTTGCTTTGGTGCTAATAAAACATATAAAATGCACAAATAACCAGAAACTTTGCTTAGAGCTTACGAATATTACATTGGAGCACAGAATTAAGAGAAAAGTATATGTCAATGCAGTCACCTCTTCTGCAACAAATGTTAGCTGATGACTTGGAAGCAAGTGGATTCAAAATTATTGTATTCTGCCACCTCTGGCTCAGAAAGAAACAGAAATCAAAACCTTAAGTACGATGCATGTAAGTACAGTGTGTGCACCATCTAATGGTGAGAATGAGTATTTTGGAATTTGTCATTTCAATGGTTCTGCCTACACTAGCTTGTCTGTACCTACAGACATTAGCCTGAGTATGATTGCACATCAAAATTAAGTCATCCTCAAATCAAGAATACAGAGTAATTAGCAATCTGTCGATTATTCTCCTGATACAACAAACTGACAGAGAAGCCTCACGATTTAGGAGGCTCCAAGTCCGAATCCCAAGCATCAGCTCTAAAGAAAGGTTTTCTTTCTTTGGCAGTTCTGGAGCTTCTGCTCTGGGACCATCTTCCCATGACTTAACATTTATGCTCTTTCATTTTCGTCATACAGTTGGATAATGTCCCAGGGGAGGGTGATCTCTCTGCTTTATCTGGTATGCTGTTGCTCCTCACTTGGCTCATGGGTCCAAAGTGGAGATGGATGGAAAAGCCTGTCTTCTTTACCACTACTTGCCTGAGTGGAAATGACAGAGATGGAGTGGAACATCCTTTGTTGCTCTGTAATGATGAGGAAGACTCATCAGTAACCTCTGGCATGCAGATGACACAACCTTGCTTGCTGAAAGTGAGGAGGACTTGAAAACACTTGCTGCAGAGGATCCAACACTGCAGCCTTCAATATGGGTTGCATCTCAATGCCAAGAAAGCAGTTTTCCCCACTGGCATGGCAGTGTCATGACAAACAAAGAAAAGATTGAAACTGTCACCCACTTCATCTTAGTTGGATCCACAATCAATACACTTGGTACTAGTAGGCAGCAGATCAGGAGATGTATGTACTGGGAAAGTCTGCAGTCAGGGACCTCTCCAAATTATTGAAGGGCAATGATGTTTAGTTTTAGGACCAACTTTTGCTGATTCTAACCATGTTTTTTTTTAATCACTTGCTATGCATATGAGTGCTGGACCATGAATAAAGATGACAGAAGACTAATTGATGCCTTTGAACTGCGGTGTTGGAGAAGAGTGTTGAATATCCATGGATTGCCAAAAGCACAGATATGTCTTGGAGAAAGTGCAGCCATGGTGCTCCTTGGAAGCAAAGATGATAATATTTCACATACTTTGTGTATGTTAGTAGGAAAGACAATTTCTTTGAGAAGGACATCATGCTTGGAAAAGTGAAGGGACGGTGAAGACCCTCAACTGGGTGGATTGACACAGCAACTCCTGCAATGGGCTCTAGTGTGTTAGAGATACTGGGGTTGGCATAGGATAGGACAGGCTTCATTCAGACCTGTTGTTCATAGGGTCTCTATGAGTTATACTTGACTTAATGGCACCTAACAACAACAACAAATAAAAAAAGATACACATTAGCTAATTAAAGAATTTTTAAAAACCCAATCAATTTGGTGATATTTGCCACCATGATACTAAATTTTATTCTTTTTCATAACTCTTCCCATCCTGGAACTACAAACCTAATTGAATACTTGATGGATCAATTACCTTCAACAACAGAGGATATAGTTTCTTAGTCAGGTTATTATCTTGATGATTTTCTGAAACTAGCAAACACCCAGCTAAACCCACTACAGTCAAGTCAATTCAGACTCACTGCCACCCTACAGGACAGAGCAGAATTGTCCACAGGGTTTCCAAGGCTGTGACTCTTTATGAAAGCAGACTGCCAGATCTTCCTCCCAAGGAGCAGCTGATGGGTTTGAACCATCCACTCTTCAGTTAATAGCCATGTTTTTTCTCCACTGTGCCACCAGGGCTCCTTTCTTTGTAAAATTAGATCAGATAAATACTGCTACAAAACATCCTGTGTAATGAATGCAGGGTAATGTATATGTGCTATACTTTTAACTATATAAGTAAAAGAGAAATAATTCAGACTGGTTAAAAAAGGAAAAGTGATAAGCATATCTATTTAACTGGGGTGTCCAGAGCAAGATGCATTTTAGGATCACTTTGTATTCTCATAGACACAATTTTTCCCCTTGGTTTCCTACCACGGTTTCTAGAACATCAGCTTTATCCTCAATCTGGTGTAAATCAAAGTGGAAGCATAGTTGTTCGTAATGTGTTTGTGTGTGTGTGTGTGTTTCCATTTATTATCAATGAATTCCATTTATTAGCAATATTTATTTATTCCACCTTGAGAAACAGAAAGTAGACATTATAAAAGCTGGTATTCCAAAAGTTAACATGAATGCAGTATTTAAATTTAAAGTTTCTCATTCATTGAAACTAAAGAAATTATTTAAGCCCCAAAGTTAAACTGTCAAATCACTCAATAGAGTGAATCATTTGAGCCAACTAAAAATAATTATAGATAATTGCTTTGAAATATATAAATTAAATACAATATTTTATTGAATTTAATCAAGTGGTAAAGATTAAGGCTTAGGGCATTTGGGAATTAATGACTAGCTTGGAAATTTGATGACCCAAGCAGAGTTTTAGCCCATTAACCCTCTCTAGTCATTAATTCCCAGGGAAGAGCTGTACCAAAGTTGCTCCAAACATTATGAGATCAGAAGCTTAAAATAAACCAAGATCTTATTTTCTGTTTATAAATGGTGTGATTTTTTTTTATTACAGCTGAAATTGCTATCTACAGAGCATTTCAGGAAAATTAATGCCCTGTGTTTTTATTATACGTGACAGGAAACATTTCTCAACACTCCATTCAGCTTGCAATTTTCAATAAAAATCATTATTAATATTTGAATGTAACATCCTCAAATATTTCTTATTTGACCCAAATGATCCATTAATGGAAAAATGAAAGCCTGACTTTAACCAAAAATTGAAATTTAACTGTCTCAATATGCTACTCCTTCAGTACTGTCTACTAATATTGATTTTCAAATTCTAAGACTGTCAGAGCTGTATCCCTGGGAATCAGAAAGTGTGTCTATCAGACTGTGAAGAAAAAAAAATATTAGTGGAAATAAAATAGAGCATCTATTATGGAGAATGAAACACACTTCCCCTGCGGATGTCAGGGAGAAACCGATTTGGGACTACATGTTCACAATTGAAGGTTGGCTCTATTTACATAAACACAAATGGGAAATAATGATGGGGCATCATAAGAAGAATGAATCATCCATCACTGTGGTGTTCCTGTGTAGACTTGATGGGCAGAGGAACGGCAGCAGTAATGCTGCACTAACAGCAGATGTCCCTTGTCACGTACCTGCTGCATGGACATCTGAATCAGCTTCCGAGCATGCACTTCTTGGCCTTGCCCCATGGAGATCGTTCTACATTCTGCAACACAGAAAGTTTCACTGTACTGAAATGTCAGTTTTGTAATAGAATTGGGGGAAAGAATTATTTCTGAGTAGTTACAAACCCTCTCCACTCATTGCTTTTAAAGAGCTTTTGTTGTTTAAATAGGCCTGGCCTTTGTGTTGATAGGAGAAATAAGTGGAGAACTGGGGGCATCACCAGAAGGGCTGGGAGAGACAGAGGGCACAAGATTGAGTTTTTAGGAAAAAATTGTGGGGCCTTTGAAGACAATGAGGATAATGGGTGATAGTGGAACAGGGAACTGTCACAAGTAAACAGAAAGGTTTTTTGAGTTTCGCTGCCTGTTTTGGTTAGAATCCTCCTTTGCTGCTAAAGAAGCTTCACAGAAGATTACATTTGCTTTTGAGATACCAAGCTCAAGTGTTGTTTTGTTTGTTTGTATGTCTGTTAAACTGTTTTGGTTTTGTTTGTATCTTTGTTCACTTTTACAAGAGTAAATCAAGTCCACTCAGCCTTTTACAAGCTACATTCAAAGATAAGTATCTAAGACCCAATTTTCAGGTCCTCCTCAGATTAAATCACCTTGGATCTGAACACTTAAGTGGAGCATATGTCCAAGTGCAATTGTGATCCAGGGGAGAACCTTTCAGGACCAGATGTCTCACACAGAGAACCAGAGTTGAGTGCTGGCACATGAATTCACTTGTGAATTCAAGAAGAACCACAGTCGGAAACTCATTTTTAAGCAAGTCTTTGTGAGCCTAGATTTTCCCTTTTTTTTTTTAAAGTTTTCATTGTGATTTGAGTGAAAATTTACACAGAAAACTGTTTTTTCCATTCAACAATTCAGACACATTTTGTTCAGTGACACTGATTGCAGTCCTCACATGGGACAGCATTCTTCCCAATTCCTCCTTGCCTTTACAGTTTCCATTCCTTCTTCTTTCCTATCTTTTTCTACCTTCTGAGCTTTATCCCTGTACAAATGCTACCCTTTTAATTTCACATAGTTGATTGTTCTAAGAAGGACATATGTCCTTGGTGTTATTATTCACTTTTTAAGCTTTTCCATTACTTGGCTAAGAGCTGAGCTATGAGGGATGAGTTCAGTTCCAGGCTTGAAGAGTGACTCAGGGTTCTAGACTCAGGGATGTTACCAGTCTCCATCAAACCAAGATGCCAGGTCTTTTTTAAAAAGTTATTTTGACTTTCTTTATGCCTTTTTCTTCCATGATATAAAGAACTTCCCATCATGATTCCTTTTGGAGTAGACAGCATTAGTAGCTGGGCACCAGATCGTTGTTTGTGTCTCAAAGGCATGGGGTCTGTGAGTCACGTGGCCCATTGGGTTTTGGACTAATTGTTTCCATATTTCTCTCATCTTCTTTGCTCCAGAAAAGGAGAGGTAAACAGTTGCACTTTAGAAGGTCACTTCCAAGTGCTTAAGACTCAAATCACAACTCAGCAAAAGAAGATAAAAAAACACTGTTTTTGTGGATTATCTTCTGCCAAGTGACCTTGAAATTCCCAAAACTATGGCCCTGGGTCCTTGGGCCTAGCAACTTGTTCTGTCAGGGCATTTGGCTACCTTTAGCTAAGTGTTCATAACTTTTCCCTCTGTTTAAGCTAATCTATGGATTTAATTATAGCATATATACATACATATCTGTAAATAACTTATGTTAAACTTACATATTGTTGTTATTGTTATGTGCTGTCAAGTCGTGTGCAACTCATAGTGACCCTATGTATAAGAGCCCTAAACCCTGCTCTATCCTGTGCCAACCTCACTGCCTCTGACACGCCTACTCCCATTACTCCAATAACTAAATCAATCCATCTCATCGAGTGTCTTCCTCTCCTGTGCCATCCCTCCACCCTCCCAAGCATGATGTCCCGCTCCAAGGACTGGTTCCTCCTTGCAATATGCCCAAAGTATGTCAGATGAAGCTTCAGAATCCTTGCCTCCAAGGAGCATCCTGGTCTCACCCTCTCCAGGACAAACCTATTTGTTCTCCTGGCAGTCCATGGCATATTCAACATTCTTCTCCAACACTACAAGTCAAAGGCATCAACTCTCTATCATCCCTAGTCATTGTCAGCTCTCCAATGCATAGTACTTAGTTGCAAAGACTATGGCCCGGATCAGGTGCACCTTAGTCTCCAGCCTGATGTCGTTGCTCTTCAGTACTCTTGAGAGGTCCCTCACAGGTGATTTTCTCAATGCAATTCGTCTCTTGATTTCCTGGCTGCTGTTACCAAGAGTGTTGACTGTGAAACCAAGTAAATTAAAACTGTTAACTATCTCAATCTCTTCACTATCCATACTGATACTGCCAATTGGCCCAGTGGTAAGAATCTTTGTTTTCTTGATGTTGAGCTTCAATCCATATAGGAGGCTGCAGTCCTTGAACTTCTGCAGCAAGCACTTCAGGTCCTCAGTTTTAACAAGCAGGGTTGTGTCATCTGCATAATGCACCTTGTTAATGTATCTTCCTCCAATACTGATGCCATATTCCTCCTTGTACAGCCCAGCATCCCCAGTGATCTGTTCTGCATACAGACTGAAAAAAATATGGAGACAGAATACATCCCTGACAGACACCCTTCCTGATTTTGAACCATGCAGTGTCTCCTTGCTCCGTTCTGACGATGGCCGCTTCATTCAAGTATAGGTTTCGCATTAGCACAATCAAATGTTCTGGGATTCCCATACTTCTCAGAGTCAGCCACAGCTTGCTGTGATCCACACAGTCAAAAGCCTTTGCATAAGCAATGAAGCACAGATAAGACATTCCTCCTATACTCTCTGCTTTCTGCCAAGACCCTTCTAACATTAGCTACAATATCCCTAGTACTATGGCCTCTTCTAAACCCAGCCTGCACATCTGGCAGTTCTCTGTTGACATGTTGCTCCAGTCGTGTGGGTCTATTCCCATTAATCCACTCATACCTCTTTCTTTTGCCTGTCTGCTTATGTAGACACTCATAGATTAGTGTTTGTTATTACCAGTAATGCAAGACTGTGTAATAGTATATACTTTTGTTCTCCCTACCTCTTGTTCACTTCTTCATCTTGCTTTTTCTTTGTCATATTGGGCTGATCATCATGCCTTTATTACATACTGCCTTTTCCTTTGCCCAAATTAGTGTCTGTTATCTGATTAAAGGAGGCTGGGTAGTGTCATGCATTAAGTGCTGAGCTGCTAACTGAAAGGCTAGCCATTCATTCAAATACACCCGCCACCCCATGCGAGGAAGATGAGCCAGTATAGATTTATAATCTTGAAAACCTGCTGGTGGCTTGCCATGAGTCACAATCAACTCAATGGCAGCGGGTTTGGCTTTTCTTTTTGGTTTATTATCCTTTTGGTTTTGATCCTGAATTTTCTCAAAGAATTGCTATTCTTTGCACTGAGAAAAGAAGTCAAAGGGGGACACTGTGGATCAGTGTATGATTGTTACGCTTTACTGAGCTTCCAGTTCAAACCACTTCTGTTGCTATTGAGTTAACTGTGACTCAAAGTGACTCAACAGGATAAAGCAGAACTGCCATATAGCATTTCCAAGGCTGTGATCCTTACAGAAGCAAACTGTCACATCATTCTCCCACAGAGCAGCTAGTGGGTTCAAACTTCTGGCTTTTCAGTTAGCAGCAGATCACCTAATATGGTACCACCAAGACTCCCTTAAATGAGCTTTTAGCTTCAGAAGAATGGGCTGTGGTTGGTAAATGAGACTGGCGTGCCAACAACTGGTTGAGAGCACTAGTTACTAGAGTGGGTTGGGACTGAACTATGTCAGGAACCAAACAAAAAGAACGATGAGACTTTGCCTCACATTCTTTGGGCATGTTGCTAGGAGAGGCTATTCCTTGGAGCTGGGCATGATACTGAGAAAGGTGGAGGGTTGGTGAAGGAGAGGAACACCCTCTGAAAAAGGTGGAGGGTTGATGAAGGAGAGGAAGACCCTCAAACAGATACTGACTGCTGCAATGGGCTCTTATATATCAGGAAGTGTGAAGATGGTAGTGAATAGATCCTTTGTTCACAGGGTTGCTGTGAGTCATACTTGGTTCGATGGCACCTAATGGCAACAAGTATTCTCTGCTTTCAGCCAAGATCTCTCTGACATCCCTTTTACCATGGCCTTTTCTAAATTCACCTTGAATTTTTGCCAGTTCTCCGTTAATGTTCTGTTCTAGAAAAATTTTCAGCAAGATTTTGCTCGCATATGATATTGATGATATTGTTCATTAATTTCCACATTCTGTTGGATCATTTCTAGGGATGGGAACAAATATAGATCTCTTCCAGTTCATTGTCCAGGTTTCATGGCACAACCTGAAGATCACCCTCAGGGCTGCATTTGTTTGTTGGAGTATTTCAATTGTATTCCAACAAGTCCTGGGGCCTTATTTTTGCCAAGGCCTTCAGTGCAGCTTGAATTTCTTTCTTCAATTCCACTGTTGTCAGCTGCCTTCAAGTCAATTTTGATTCATAGTGACCCTAAGTACAAAAGACCAAAATCTTGCTCAATACTTTGTCATCCTCACAATCTCTTCTGTGCTCAAGCCCACTGTTTGTTACTCTTTGTGTTTATACATGCACTTACATGCTATTTTTTATATCTACTTTTTAATCAGGTGTGTTATAAACATTTTGTTGTTGCTTTTGGTGGTGGTGGTGCCATCGAGTCACCTATTACTCATAGTAACCCTGTGTACAACAACTCTGAACTCTTCCCTATCCTGAGCCAATCTTGACATATCTACTCCCACTACCCCAGTCACTGAGTCAATCCATCTCATCCAGGGTCTTCTTCTCTTGCAGTGTCCCTCCACTCTTCCAAGCACGATGTCTATCTCCAAGGACTGGTCCCTCCTGGCCACATGTTCAAAGTAAGTGAGATGGAGTTTCAAAATCCTTGCCTCCAAGGAGTAGCTTGGTTTCATCTCTTCCAGAATAGACCTTTTCATTCTATTGGCAGTCCACAGTATGTTCAACTTTTTCTCTAGC